TTATCATGCATTGTCATGCACGTTTCATTTGCATTGTCATGCATTTCCTTATCATGCATTGTCATGCACACCTCATTTGTATTGTCATGCATTTCCTTATCATGCATTGTCATGCACGTTTCATTTGCATTGTCATGCATTTCCTTATCATGCATTGTCATGCACACCTCATTTGTATTGTCATGCATTTCCTTATCATGCATTGTCATGCACGTTTCATTTGCATTGTCATGCATTTCCTTATCATGCATTGTCATGCACACCTCATTTGTATTGTCATGCATTTCCTTATCATGCATTGTCATGCACGTTTCATTTGCATTGTCATGCATTTCCTTATCATGCATTGTCATGCACACCTCATTTGTATTGTCATGCATTTCCTTATCATGCATTGTCATGCACGTTTCATTTGCATTGTCATGCATTTCCTTATCATGCATTGTCATGCACACCTCATTTGTATTGTCATGCATTTCCTTATCATGCATTGTCATGCACGTTTCATTTGCATTGTCATGCATTTCCTTATCATGCATTGTCATGCACATTTCATTTGTATTGTCATGCATTTTCTTATCATACATTTCCTTATCTTGCATTGTCATGTACATCTCTCTTGCATTGTCATGCATTTCCTTATCTTGCATTGTCATGCACATTTCATTTGCATTGTCATGCATTTCCTTATCTTGCATTGTCATGCACATTTCATTTGCATTGTCATGCATTTCCTTATCTTGCATTGTCATGCACATTTCATTTGCATTGTCATGCATTTCCTTATCTTGCATTGTCATGCACATTTCATTTGCATTGTCATGCATTTCCTTATCTTTCATTGTCATGCACATCTCTCTTGCATTGTCATGCACGTTTCATTTGCATTGTTTTGCACCCCCCTTATAACTTGCATTGTCTTGCTCGTTATGTGCATTATTTTGCACCCCCCTTATAACTTGCATTGTCTTGCTCGTTATGTGCATTATCTTGCACTCCCTTCTAACTTGTGCATTGTCTTACACTCCCTACTAACTTGTGCATTGTTTTGCACCCCTACTAACTTGTGCATTGTCTTGCACTCCCTACTAACTTGTGCATTGTTTTACACCCCTACTAACTTGTGCATTGTTTTGCACCCCTATCTAACTTGCATTGTTTTGCAACCTATCTAACTTGCATTGTTTTGCAAACTATCTAACTTGCATTGTTTTTCAACCTATCTAACTTGTATTGTCTTGCAACTTCACTAACTTGCGTTGTTTCGCACGTTCTACTTGCGTTGTTTCGCAACCTCTCTAACTTGCATTGTTTCGCACATTCTACATGCATTGTCATGCACTTCACACTTCACTTGCGTTGCCACGCACTTTTCACTTGCATTGCTATGCATGTTTCTAACGATATTTGTAATACCCTTGTTCTGTAGTATGCTAATTGGTCCTTAACATGAATATGATTATGTGTTTGATATGATTTTGTGTGCCATTATGTGAAAATCTATGCTTTTGAATTTCTCTCTGTTCACCGTAGGAATATCTGTTTGATTGTCTGCTTTGGAAATTAAATTGAAGGCCCTATCGGCCACCGAAATCGAAATTGGTCGCGCCATTGTGATTGGCATAATTTTTAGAGCCTACGGTGAAGTTTAATTGAAAAATTGATTCGGACCAGATTAAATTGATTAAATTGATGAATTAGTGCCCAATTATTTATTATTATTAAATTGAAATTAGTGGGGCTTTATATAAAGGGCCATGTACACTCTCATGGTTTCTTTTTGAGCTCAAAATCTGAGATATACATTTGAGAGGGTGAGAAGGCCGGCTATAGAGAGAGAGAGGGGAGAATTGTGCAATTTTGGCCTTGAAGCTTGATAACTTTGAAGCTATACTCAAGAATTTGCTATTGATTAGAGAAATTGAGCCTCTAGGTAGATAATTGATCTTGAATTCAAGTTTGAATAATGGTCAAGAACATGAATTAGTTTGATTATAAGGAAATTGAGTTGTATTTGTTGATTTTAAAGTCAATAGATGCATGCATGTAGGAGATTACTATGAATTTCCATATTTGAGCACAATGTGTATGATCCATGTTGAATTTTTGGTTTAAGTCCATATATTTGATCACCTCTTCACCAATTAAGTTGAGGATATTGTGTATATTCCACATGCAAGTGCAAATCATGGAAGTATGAACCTTGAATGTTTGAATTTAGTATGTTGGTGATGAGTTTGAGTCAATTTGGGACATGCATGTGTTTGATTCATGAAATTGAGCTTCATTGGGTTGTAATCTAGGGTTTATACCATGTTAGTACAAGTGTATTTGAAGTTTGAGCTATTGCATGCAAGAAATGTTGGATGGAATGTCAAGTTGAAGCTCAAGAACATAGCTGGAAAACCCAGAAATTTTGGTGTCCGCTCGAGCGGGGAAACCGCCGCTCGAGCGTGAATTTCGTGCTCCTAGTATTTTTGCAGACTT